CTCCTCTTTCACCCTCATCAAGAGGCTCTTTAGTTCTTCACTTTCTGCCATTAGGGTGGTAACATCTGCATATCAAGCGTAAGTCCTGTTTAATCTGTTTTATATATTTTATGTTGTGTGATACTATATATTTATGAATTTCTTCAGGTATCTGGAGCCACATGAAACAGAAGATGAGTTGTTCCATCCATATGAGAAACAAGAAGCACAACTCCCTTCCTTGCTTGTTGAAGAACTCTATTCTTTGACACTGCATATTGGCCACCTATATGATCTCCCTACTTGCATTTTAGAAGGAATTATTCCGCCTAAAGCAAAGGTTGTCTGTTGACTTTTTTTTTCATATATATATGAACACATATACATTCACACACACACACACACATGCAATATTATCAGACATGAGTAACATGCAGTAATACACACCAATTGTTTGTAAGTTCTGGGGCATTGGTGAGAAGCAACAATAGGATATGGCATAAAGTCAGTACTGCCACCAAGTGATCTAAGAGGTGATATAACTAGGCTGTTCCCTTTTCATAGATATGGGATATTTCTAGCATGCAGGCTGACCCCCAGGAGGTTCCTTATCTAGCCTGTTGACTTTCATACACAGGTCCTAGCCCTTTCTTCTCCTTTAAATCTGAATTTGGAGAAGATTTTATCTCTAGTACGCACGTGTGTGAGATACATTAGGATGCCTGCCTTCTAGAATACATGTGTCTTTAGGAATTTGGGGTGGGGGGCAGTGCCTCTGCTCACTATTTTCATTCAGTTCCCAAAGTCCCAGCCCAAGGCCAGTTTGACTGTCAGACCAAAATTTGTTTTCTTCCTCTCCATTATTTTAGGAAAATTTTTAAGAAGTTTCTCTGTGGCTGGTAAGATGGAAGATCCTACTTCCCTAGGACAGGATACATGACCTGTATAAAAGTACTATCAGTTGTTTGTATCCCCATACTTACCATGAACTCAGAAGAGTTGAGTTGCCTATTACTGGTTCCAAAAGGAAGTTGTTTTTGTAGCATATTAAATAATTCCCACAGCATATATGGGAGATGCACTGTATTTTAGTTTATATGTATGCTGAGGTAAAAATGAAAAATATTCTTGGAGGTAAAAATAATCAGGGAAAATTATAATGCATATTCAGGTAGTTCTCATTTAGTGACTGCCTCGTTTAGTGACCACAGTTACAACGGTGATGAAAAAATAACTTTACGACCAGTCCTTGCATTTATGACCTTCACAGGTCTATAAAGTAAAGGAAAACTGAAGTAAGATCATAAGCACAGTCGCGGTTTCACTTTGTGACTGTTTCACTTAAATACCAAGTTGCCGGTTCCAATTGGGGTCGCTAAACGAGGACTACCTGAAATGGTACTATAATTTTTAAATCATTGGTTATGTATTTGCAGTAGTAGTAGCATGGCCTTACAGTTTTTGTTACTAAAGAATTGTATTTTTTCTGTTGAGTTATGATATGTACAAACCTTTTAAAAATGACAATATTTGGCAACGTTTAATAGTAATACATCTTACCTGCTACACTAATTACCAATCTATTTCCAGCACATGGAAGGCCAGTTCATTTTAAATCTTTATATGTCACAGTTTATTCTGCATATATAAATTTTAAAATATAATTTACAGTATTCTTCTTGGACATCTTTAATATAGTTATTTCCTCCATCATGGCATTTGCTGCATCTCTACATAGACATTCACTGGTCAGTGTTGGAAATCCTCCATCTTCTTGGTGAAAAGATGCAAAGTAGGTCTCCTTTTGCATTATTTGTATGTTGGGATTTGGAAGGATAAATAAAATGCATGCAGATAATTGCTAAAACAATAGTTTGGAGGGCAATTAAGCTTCTATACTTTTCAGAAACAAGTGTTTTTAATACTATGAAACAACATGTGCAGATTCTCAATTTGCTATTGCCAAGGGTTGTATCGATAGTGTATACCTAGTAATGAAACAGCTCTAGGTACTTTGCAAACCTGCCTGGGTTGGAGCATGTGGGCGGAGACTAATCAAAATGCTACAGTGTAAGGAACTTTTTGTCAGTCTGGAATAGCTGTTAGTTCAGACTTACAGGTATTCCTCAAGTTACGAGGGCAGTTAGGACCAGATTTTCCATTGCTAAGTGATGTGGTCATAAAGCGTGACATCACGTGACTACATTGCTTAGTGATGTCACGCTTGGTGCATTGCTTAGCAATCCCGGCAGTCCCAGTTGCCGTCATAAACTGAATCCTACCTGTCGTTAGCCAAGGACTCATCCTAATCCAAGCCCCTCCCAGCTTGGTTCCTCCCAGCTCTGAGCCTTGTTAAGGTAAGGGACTACCTCCTCTTCAACTCCCCCTACCCACCTAAGTTGTCCTCATCTCTGCCCTTTTCTACGCTTTGCACTCTGCCGCCACCCTGTACTTGCTGGCCCTGCTGCCCCTGCCAGCCTTGCCACCCTGTGTTCCCTGGCCCTGCCGCCCCTGCGGGCTTTGCTGCCCCCAGCTGATCTTCACCATCTTCTTCTTGCCTCTGCTGATGAGGCACGCCTGGCATGGCCCTTTGCAAGGCAGCTGCTGGCCATGCCAGGCTTTCTTCCCGAACCCATGCTCGCCCCTTATCCAAATGTGTGCGGCCTTCTTGCGAGGTTTTGGAAGACAGGTGCATGAAAGAAGGCCCTAGCTGCACCAGCACAAAAGAAGGACCCTTGTAACCGGGTTCTTCTTTCACATTGGAGCAGCTAGGTCCTTCTTTCACACTCCTGCCTTCTAAAACCTCACAAGAAGGCCACACACAATTTGAACAAGTCCACGCTCAGGGCAGTGGACTAGTGGCCGGTATGGCTGGCAGGGCCAATGGAGTGCAGTGTGGCCAAAAGGACAGAGATGTGGGGGGAGATAGGCAGATGAGGGGAGTTGAAGCACCCATGTGGTTATAATCGTGGTCGGGCTGCCAGGCGCCCAAATTTTGATCATGTGACTGCTGGAGTGCTGCAGTGGCTGTAACTTTGGGGAAGAGGCATAATACCATTCATTCAGCCCCACCATAACTTCGAAGAGTCACTGAACGAATGGTCGTACCTCGAGGATTACCTGTACTAATTATCAGTGACAATAAATTAGGCTTATTTTTAACAAGGTCTGACTCTAACTCAGAGGTTGCAGTATTTGCTTGTGGGTTTTGCTTGCTGCCTCCTTTTATGACAGAGTGGACAAACACAAGAAAAATGAAACAATCTACAAAAAGAGGGGGGAAAGCTGTGGGTTACATTAGTTTTTATTAGTATCAGGCATGCTTCATCCCTTACTCATTCTCCAAATTGGCTTTGTTATATCAGTCCTCCTATTTTTAAATCAAAGTTCCCTGCTATCTATGGAATGTGAGCAACTGTGGTTTGTAGCTGGTGGATCTGCTAAGATTCTGAAACCAGGACTTCATGGTTCTGGTTTTAGCAAGTTAACATTAAATTAAAAGTTTAAAATTTCAGATATAATGAGAGACACTAATTTAAATATACTAGGATTAAAACAGATTGTTTGATCGGTCTACTTATTTTTGCTTGCTAAATTGAGGTTTAAGATGCTTACATTTATTTATTTGCAATTTCAATTTTTATAGCTTCCCGCTTGGCCACAACTCTGTTAAGACCCAAGTTACACTATGGTTGTTAAGACTATTTAGTAACAAATGAATTTAAGATACTTGGAGGTACATTAAAAAATATTTCCAAGCAATTCACCAAAGAAATAAAAAAAAAGTGTAATATAGAAAAACATTGTTTCCTGTTGCTTTTTGCTTAGATAGGGTGAGGGTCCAAACATGTTTCTAAATTATGGAAGCCAAGTTAAACAGAAGATTGGATTACTGTCTTATGTGGAATCTACTGATTGGAGAAGATCAGTCTTCCCCATCCTGGTGCCCACCAGAATATGTTAGACTTAAATTTCTGTTATCCAAAATTAGCAAAATGGCAGTGGATTATGGAGACTGAAGTCCAGTATCATGTTGAAGTCCAGACAGTATCCTGAAGGAATCTTCTTAGGGAATCCTAAAATAGGTTATTTTTGACTTCATTTCTTTTATCTATAATCCTTCCAGTCCTCAAATTATAAACAGTTTTAATGAGATTGATTCATCTATATCTATCCAGCACCATTTTTTAAAATCAATATATAACTCAATTGATTTATATATTTTTACAGCAAAACTTCACTTGTAAATTAATTAAAAGATCAATACATCTATCCATTATTATTTGTCCTATTGATTTCGTTGGAATTTCTAACTTAACAAATGCATTTTGATTTCATTGTATTTTGAGAGGGTGAAAGGTCCTTACACAAACTGCATATTCAACAGTCTGTTAATATTATAGCACAATTCTAAATTTAACTTATCTTTATCTTTATTAATGAAGTTATAAAAATGTTTTGAAGGTACACAATGTAATATGCACTCACATTTGATTATGCTGTTTTAAATTATTCATGCCTATTCTCTTACTAGAATATCCAGAAAAATACAATGTTTAGAATTGCTTAAGTTCTAAATATGTTGTAGTGTCAAAAATGGCTATTCTGAGAGGTTCTGGTGACTATGGCCAATGAAGCATAAGGATATTCTCAGATTTTTAAAAAATAATTCTTTGATTGACAACTCCATTTTAAAGTGATCAGTGGTAACCAGACATCATTCAGCACTCATGTAGAGTACTGTCAATCTTAGCTGCTGAATGATAGATGAATGCCACTGTTATTCCTTATCTCCCTATACCTCCCTCGTACTTCCATAATTTATTTAATAATTGATAAAAAGTAAGAATTAAGTTCTAATAAGGCAGTCCTACTCATGTTTACTCAATATATGTTCAGTATATTCAGATGACTTTACCACTAAATATTTGTGCTTGGAGTTGCAACATGCAGGGAGAAAACAGGGAGAATAGTATTTTAGAAGAGGGTGATATTTTGAATCAGGCAAACACTGAAGGTCACATATTGCATTAGGAAAAGTTTGTTCAGATTCACTGTGGGATCTAACTTAACATATTGTTAAAGCAGAAAACAGATGTTTTCAACATTATGTCTGTCTGTATTATGTTTCACAATGCTTAAGCCTAGATTGCGTCCCTTGTACATTATTTAACAATAAGAGCTTGGGGTCTGCAATAAAAGTTAATGTGGGATGCTTTTTTCTGAGGACCTGTTCATTCAGCCATGCCTTCTTCCCAAATACTGCTTTCATTCTCCCTTCTAAATTTTAGAATTTCCTTTCAGTAGTCAGAGAGAAAAGTGGACAAGGAGTATCCTAGGAACCAGAGCAATGCTGGGGAAAGTGGTGCAGAGCTCAGACCATCTTCAGTTATGATACTCATATCTCCCAAGCTCCCTACCCATGAAATATAGTACCATTTTCCCTCTCTTCAGTCCTAGCTGAACATTATATCCATGCCTGTTCCTTTTCCTATTCCTGGTCAATCTCCAAATGTAAAGACTCGACAAATTCTTGTAGAGGCCATTTGGGGCATGCAATGATGGTGGGGGAAAGTAGAGTAAGGGGAACTCCTGTTTTGTGATAGTAATTTGGGACCAAAGTTAATCATGCTTAGAGGAAACTAATGAAGCTAATGAAATCAGCATTAATTTAGTCATGACCAATTTAGTCTATAAAGCTTCCTGTATAGATGAATATGATATGTAATTGTATGATTTTTTTTACCTATATGGGGAAAAAGTGGTTTGCAACTAAATGTTTTGCATGCCCCTTCAAGAAACCCCATCCTTTAAGTCAGGATATAAGATTGTATTACTGAACCAGCACTGAAAATATTCATCCTGCTGCAAAAATACAATCCTATCAAATGATTACAAATTTGAGATAAGAGTTTGTCATTATGTTAAATTTTGAAAATGGATGACATTAGGTTTGGTTTGCAGTTGTTTGCTTTTACAGTGAAAACATATATTTCTGTTTCTGAATTCATAAAATCAGTTTTCTCATTGTATTTGTGTTTCCTAGGGCAAACCATATATGCACACAGGTTTACAAATTTAACTGGAGAAAATCTAACCAATATCAGTTTGTTTGAAGATCACTGTGGAAACCTGTTACGTGATCTGATAAGTTTGTCACTTAAGAGATATCCAAAGGTATTACAATTTTATTTAATGTTATGGTAATATTGCCTAAATTTTTGAGACAGTGGAAGTGTCTCTGTTAACATATATTAGATGATATTTTCCAGATGAATTCATCTTATCATTGAGTCCTTTTGATTAGATCCCACTTCTGTTAATTCAGCTCTGTGGGGTAGTTAAATGAAAAGACAGTTTGAGAAGTACTTTTGTCCAGAAATGAAACCTGCGAAAAGTGAGAGGTGTCTTTGGCAAGCAGAAATCTCCAGATTTTCCTGTTTTCCTAAGGCCCTAACGCCCTAGAGAGATCAACAGTCTTTAGAAGTGGACTGGGACAGGAAGAAAGAGAGCTGATTACAAGAGTCATTACATCCATTTATCTCCTAGTTTTAGTTGTATGTGTGTAAATATGTGTGTGTGCATGTGTGCACACACACACATATATTCAAGTACATTATTTTTAGTAGTCTACTTTTTCACAAAAAAAATGAAAAGGTTTGTCTGGTACATCTTTCTTATACATTGCTTCCTTTACCTTCCCAAGTTTCCAAGTGCAAAATAAATTATTCAGCTAATTAATTCTAAATTATCAAATAGGTTAGTCTTGAATTGGATAAAGGGCAAATCTACGTGACATGTAAAAAGTAAGTATTTATTTGCTAAACATAATGCAAAATAGAGTGAAACTTTGTTAAATCTTAAAATGGGAGTGGTATTCAGTTGCTATATGTGACTACATTACCACCTGCTGGTATATCAAGGTATAACTCATTTGATTAAAGATGGCAGACTAACAATTCATGAAATACCACATTGCTTCTGAAGAATGTAATGATTTTATTCCATCATGTATGGCATTTAACTCATGCATACAGAGGTTCTATCATCAAAATTAGTGTTGGGTAATTTGGATTTATTTATTTATTTAGTAGTAACATGGTTTGTGTCATAGTTTCAGAAGGAGAGAGTATACAAAGCCAGTGCTGTAGAAATGTTTTCCTAAGATACCAAATATACAGAGTCTGTGACTAATTTTGTCATACTGATACTGTGGGGGTAGAAAACGAAAAGAAGTTCGTTGTTGTATGTTCTTTTTATTTATCTTACTTTTTATTTATCTTACCCTAAGATCCATGTGGGTTTTCTGCATGATAGAGTATAAAATACAAGTAATGTGTGGTTATCACTAAGGTTTTAACTATAACTTTACCCCACCCTGAATTTTAGTCATTAATATCTGACAGGACAACCTTAAGTATCTACTTAAGAACAAGTTCTGCTGAATTCAGCAAACTGGCTTCTGAGGAAACGTAGAGAGGATTGTGTTATTAATCTGTAAAGCATAGGATCAAGTATAAAAAGTCAGTGTGCTAGTTTTGAAAGCATTTTTTCCAAAATGTTATATGGATGTTAAACAGATTTCCTTATAAATTGTTTAATAACGGTTAACGTGGAACTTAAAATATCAAATATAATCCTACCTGTTATTTAAATATGATTTTTGAATAGGTGGTTCTTCCAAAAATTGCTTTCAAGAGTCATGAGAGTCTCTAGAATGGAAAGTGAAGCAGGAACTCACCAAAATTACCTTCTCTAATTCTTATTAGTAGGACAGTTTCAATAATTTCTCACCAATAAAGGAGTGATCAATGTGTATGAATTTTATTGAGGTGAACACTCCTTAAAACATTTTCTCAATATTAGACACATAAATAATGCCCTGTGGTTTTGACAGATCTAGATAAGTCTCTTTCTTTCTCTAGACATGCACACACAAACTCACACCTATCCATTCTCCTCCTTAAAGGGAGTCACTTCTGAAAAATGACAGTAGAAAAAGAAATCATAACACTACAAGGATAATGCACAATCTTTAAATTAGGATTTCCAGGACGTGCATACAAAGACTTAGCAGCTTCCTTTTTCAAAAAAGAAAGAAATTTTATACTACTTGCTGGATGATTTAATCTTTTCATATTTGAAGTTAAGCATTTCATTGATATTTTTCAACTATTTCCTCCATCTCTGAAGTTTGTGCATATATTAATATTTTCTGCCTTCTCTGAGTTAAAATGTTATTTGTTGCAGGTTAGGCTCTCTGAAGCTCTTATTACTCACCACTATGGTTGTATCTGTATAAAAGAGCTGTGGGTTCTGCTTATTCATCTGCTTGACCACAGAAATAAAGGATCTCTTACAGAGGTAGGAATTGTTACATTCCCAGCATGAATACATTTCATGAAACAGATTGCATTTGAAACCTGCAGAAATTCATAGTTTGACAAATATATCAAACTATTTTATCTACCCCATAGACAAACTTATATCAAAGGTGTTGCTTTTTTTTCTTATAAACTTTAAAGAAGTTTGTGTTAGTTGACCAGCACATAACATAATCTTCAGCATGGTATTTCTGGATATTATCAGAACAGGAGCAAGGCAACTGTCCATTGAGACTTAGTTGTGGAATCCATTAGGAATGTAGTAGTTTAAACAGTTGATAGCACAATAAGCTATCCTTTCCAACTCTAGGAATTTACAGTTAAAACTTCTGGTATTAGGCCTGGGGAGGTCAGTCATGAATTAATACTACATGTCCACACAATAGTAATTTCCCCAATCTATTCTTAGCCTCTATCTTCTTCTGATGTATTTTGTTGGCTCCACTAATCTAGACTGATTTACATCTGTAGCATATAGAACTTGTGCATTGCTAACAGTAAATATATTTGGAATTGGTTATTGATTATATTAAGTCGGGTAGCAAGGTGTTGTATTGTTCTATTGTTTTACTGTCATTTATTGTATTTTATTTATGTCTGGTGGGCTCATGACTTTATTACAATAAAGAACAAAAGTTGAAATTGGGTATATTAATCTAGAATTCTACTAGAATTGAATTAAAAAAAAAAAAACCTGAGCAATTGACCTGAGTATAAGTAATCACAAAACCCAATCTTGGAGAATCCTAAAACCTGTCTATTCTTCTACTATATAATTTCAAATCATCATCCTAGTTTGTCATTCCCTTGATTATATTGAAAATATTCCCTGTTCCTTATATAATCTAAAGGTAGGCCATAAACTATATAGATAATACATTGAAGTTTTTATCAGCTTACTTCAGTTAGATTTCCAAATTAAATGTGCAGTATTCAGCCAAGGAGACAGAAGTGCTGATTGTATATGATAGATATTCCCAAACCAATTTAGGGGAGGGGAAAAAAAGTAAGTTACCTAAGTTTAGGAATAAGCAATCTGATTCCTTGTGATATTGTGGACCTTTATTCCCATCACCCCCAATTAGCATGATCAGTGGCAAACAATTTTGGGGATATTAGTCTAAAATAGCTGGAAAGCACCAGGCTGCCTATCCCTTAGCTGCATAATTCAGGTTTTAAATATAGAGGTTTGCTCACAAATTGTTGATTGGGGTGAGGCTGAACTTGATTTGATTCTTATTTATTTATTTATTCAGGCTTTTTGCCTGTTATAATCAAGAGGCTTGATTTTACTCTTTTACTTTATTACAGTCCTATGTCAAATGCCCCTTTCTCCACAGATTGTCCCCAAAATGGTATCCACTTGTATTAGTGGCATCTTTTTGGAATGCAGGTTGCATTCATGGGAACTCTTAAGTTATATTAGGACTACAGTGAAGGTCAAAGGATTAATATACCCTTGCCCAATTCAGAACCTGAGTTCTTATTTCATCAAGAGAAATGTGCAATCAAAACTAGAATTACACAGAAAAAACTATTATTTAGTTTGGCTATCAGTGGATTCTTACCTGTTCTGGTAATATTTCTCTCTATATGAGTGTTCATTTGTATACATATTAACTCACAAACATAACTACATATGAATGAAAGTGCATCCAAAGTTATATTTAAAAAGTTACCTGGAAAAAGACTCAGAAGTGTTCTCTGTTTCCACCTCAGAATCTGTCCTGTGCAATCTGCTATCTGGTAAAGTGAAAAAGTAATAGGAAAAGTTCTTCAGAAGCTAAGTAGCTGGCTGAAATCTGCAGGTTTCCATTTAAAAAGTGTTGGTTTTCTTTGCAGACTTTTTGGAACTGGCTAAATAAAATTCTAAAAAAAGTATTCGAAAAAAACAGTGGTACTGATGCAGTATCTGTCTTTGAATCAATTCCATGCAAGGATCCATTGAGTTTTAGTTGGTGGATTATAACCCACTTGGCATCACTTTATCACATTGACCGGAATGGATATATAGATGAAAAGGTAGGTTTGTCTTTTTTCCACAAAGAATACTTGTAAGGAGTTTTTAACATTTTATTAATCTCCTACAGGGTTTTAATACCTGTGAACAAAATGTCTGGAAGTTGTTAGCCTCAGTATGGCTGTGGTTAATGCATCACTTTAAGCCATAGTTTGCTTTTAACATAGTTTGTTAAATAAACTGCATTTATTCTTCAGCCATAAATTAATGGCTCAAGTCATAAACCATGGTTTATAAACCATAATGGCTAAGTCATGCATTTTCTAAGCTATAATATGGTTATGCTATGTAAACCTGCTCATTCTAGTTTGTAAATCATGGTTTATGGCTTAGTGGAATGTGTAAATGTAGCTGTGGTTCTCACATTTTTTATCCATCGTTAAGCAGGTTTGCACAGTATGCTGAGCCATGAATCAAATGTGGCTTAATGTTGACATAAACCAGACAATAAGGGAGAAATGGGTGATACAGTAGCTTACATATGATGAAATGAAATTACAGACTTGTAGTTGACATCAATTCTCAACGTTTAGCTTTAATTAATTACTAATTATGAAATATAGGACCTCCTGTCATCAGGTAAAAAGAGCGAGTGTGTAAACTTCTTAAATGTGAGATGCAGGAGTCTTAATCTTTTCCTATCTCTGAGTTATACAAATGCCTGCTATATTTATCTTTAAAAAGTGAAATGAGAGGCACCATTTTAGTAACCAGACAGTGTAAAGATCAAAGATTACTGTTTTTAACTGTTAGATTCCTATTGTAAATATCATATTTACTCTTTAAGCTCACTGAGAAGTGTATCAGTGCGAGAAAGAAAGTTAATTGTATGCTTGTTGATTTAGAAGGAATGTATTATAAAGTGAATAGTCTTGAACTATGGAGTGTTTTGCCTGATTATGGAGCTGAAGGTTGTTGGCTGAATATGCTAAGAGTTGTAGATAATGGAAGTAAAGGATGTTACAGAACTAATAGAAGGCTTAGCAAATGCTTTAGCATTAAGCAGGGAGAAAGAGAAGGATGTGCAATGTCCCCTTGCTTATTCAATGTATTTGTGGAGAAATTTGCAGAGAATGCTTGTGGTGAAGTTGGAGTGTGTGTGATGGGAAGGTGAATATATGTTTACCTTTGTATATAAATACCATACTGTTGGCAGAGAAGCCAAGTGGTACGCTGTGCGTGTTAGACTGTATGATGCAGCAAGGAGAATGGATCTGAAAATTAACATATCAAAGCCCAAGATTGTGGTGTTTGACAGAGAGAGGAGAGTGAACATTTACAAGTCATATACAAGTAGTGAAAAACTAGAGCAAGTAGATGAACTCATATATCTTGAAAGGAAGTTTCTTAAAGATGAGAAAAATTGAGAATTTTTAAGATGGACCAGTGCTAATGGTACATGGTCTGTAACAAGAAATGATTACCAAAAGAAGCAAAATGGATCTGTTTAACAGGATGCTTCTGCCCTCTTTGTTATATGGAAGTGAGAGGTATGTCAGGAGAAATATAAAAGTAAGTTGCATGCAGAAGGACTTAAGTGGTAAAATAAGAGATAAGGTCAAGAATGTATGAGTGCTGAATAAGTGTGATTTGAATGCAAAACTCATTGGTAGATCAGTACAGTTGATGAGATCTTGAAAAAGGATACCAGTGTATGAGGCAAAGTATGGATGTGATGGAAGAAAGAATGGTTTAATGGATAAAAATGTATGAAGAAATATAGTGAATTGAATGGGTGTAAACTAATTTTAGCTGTGTTAACTTGAAAAAAAACCCTCAACCATTTAATTTCTTGGGTTTATTATTTCTTTTCTGTGCTCTGCATGACATTGCTTACCCCAAAAGGGAACAGCATGATGATTATAGAGGGCTTGACTTTGTCCTATTGACTTGTAGTTTTTATGGGTAATATATTCTAGTTGTGAAATTTTACATCTGTTATCATTCCTTAAGCATTGTTTTCATTATATTCTGATTTTCAGTGGTCTGAGAAACTGATCAAACTATACTACAATTTGCTTGGCCTGGTTTAGAATGGTGTGTAATCCCAGCCAGTTGTGGTTTGTTTAATGAGCTACATTTAACAAAAGCATCATTTTTTCTGTATGAACCCAGTCTATGAAACCCTAATGTCTAGTAAATTACTGCTATAAATTTACACTGACCTTGAGCACCATAATGAAATCAATTTTCAGAAGTTATTAATACAAAATGGAAACCAGAATTACTAAATCAGCCTTACCAGGAATATGTATGCTATGTTTTGTGGTCTGGTTGCTTCTGCTTGACTTCTGCAAGCAGTAAAGACTGAAGTAACCACTAATTTATCAGAAGTGAAAAGCTCAGCATTATGTCCAAACCCAACTCCTAGCTTATTTCTTTTCAGAAAGCTATTTTTGTTGTTAGTTTCCAAACCTTGAATCGTTCCAAGCAGGCTAGGACTCTGATTCAGCTCTAAGTAGGGTTATGCACAGGATCACAGGCTTCTGTGAAAACAAGGAAAGCTTTGCCCCTTTCATCCCCAAGTGTCATATCATAAGCCATGTACAAAAGGGGTGGACCTCATAGGGCAATGTTGATTTGGTTATGTCCCTCCTCCCCCCATAGATGTCCCTGGATCATATTCTAAGCTTTCTATTGCTGACAAGTCTGTAGCTTTCTGCTCACCCTTTCAGGAAGAGCTAAGATGTTATCAGGCAAGCACAATCCAAAAGGCTTGCTTTGGACCAATAATCTTGAAGTTTCAACAACTCTAACTTAACCTTTTGTGTGACTGGGACAATATTAGTAAATCAGAGCCATACATTTTTCTTCTTTGTTGATAAGAATTTCATATTTCTTGGAGATTATCACTTAGGCAAGCATTTTTGAGCTTTGGTAATTTCTTTTCACTGAAAGGTCTGATTGACTTGATCTATTTGTTTCCCTCTTAATAAATGACAATGGAAACACATGGGATTAATTGAAATTAAACCAAACTTCTTACTAATGCTAAATATTTTGAAGTGTACACATAGCTATATTGTTTTGTCATGACCAGTCTTAAGATATATATTTTGGTTAAATAGAAAATATCTATGTTTAACTATAGATTAAAATGATCAGTACAGAAAAAACATATACTACCTAGCCTAAATTGCCTTACCTTTAGTTAACTGAATTGGTGGTAGATCTGCAATTTGAAATCTGTGTCCTATTTTAAAATAACTACTTTATATCTACTGATTGTCTATTTTGGAAACCTATAGTTCTGCTGTGAAGAGTCAAACTGTTAAAAAGGGCACAGATACTTTGACACCATAACAGACTGGATTTCATATGGTTTCAATTTAAAATGACATTTAAATATATTTGGCTTATATAAATATACATATATTAAAAAAAACTTAGGAGAGATCTGTGTAGCATCAAAAGTATATCACCTGGTTTGCACACTGCAGTATGTCATTATATAATTTATTTGGTTGGCTTAGTGTAAGATATAAACATGTTTGTTGTCATTTATTTAGTAAATCTTGATATATGAATCAATTTTGGTGTAGTAATTTAGTGGTAATAATTTGTGTTGAATTAAAATTGGAAAGTGTCAGATTTCTCTAAGAAAATATCTAACTTTTTAAAAATTTGTAAAACACATATCGATCTTAAGTGTCTTTGCTTAACACCCAAAGAATCTGCATTATCGTATTCTTAAAGGCTATATTCATAAATTTAAAAAACCAAATAGAATTAGAAATATTACAATATTTGAACATCGCAGGGGTCAATTTTAATGCTGCTCAGGGCTTTCAAATATAGTTAGAATGACTTCAAGCTAAATATTCTTACTTTTGAATAGTTTAAAATGACTACTTTCTAAGATAAGCGAAGACTGCTTTCCAGCTGAGCAGCTTAGCAACTCAACAAGTGAACCAGAAGAAACTAGTTCTTTTTTGCATAGAGTTAAAAAGAAATGTTGCCTATATACTTAAAGTTGCAACTCAAGTTGTATTTTTAAGTAATATGACAAATGAATGCAAAATCATATTTCATGCTATTAGTTCAGAACTACATGTGTGTTTGTTTAGCAAATAGTATCAGAAATGTTTTCCTTAGGCAGAAATGCTAGATATACTAAGGGAATGAATATTTTGCAATTCTTTATGAAAACCTGTATTTCAAAGGCTTTTTGTTAAAGATAGAAAATGGTTGTCAGTTCTCATTGTTGGGGATTTTTAGTTCAATTCTTGAAGACCTTTTGAACTGTGTTCCTAAACTTGATTTATGTAAACAGAAGTATTTATTTCTTTACTCTTCATTGGCATTGACCAAATTAGAGGGGGCATAATCATTTCTAGATCCTCTTGTACATTTCATTAACATGACTTGTGATTAAGGATTGCAGGACTAATTTATATGCTGGCTATGATCTTTAGAAAGACAGCCAAATAGATGAATTGCTAGTTGTGATATTAAATCCACTGGGATTAGCTACATTCTTGATCCTTAAGATACAGTATAGACTTACATTGTTGATTGACTTACATTGTTGATTTTAGAACATGAAGGGTAAGTTTAAATTATCTATATTTATGCGTTCTGAACATCTTTTTCTTCTAGGTAAAAGGCAACATTAAATATTTTATTCTGTTATATCTAACAAAAACAAAATGAATCTGTTCTCTGTGAGGATCAAAAATGCTTTTTGTACTAATTTAACAACATCAGGGGAGGAGGAAGATTTTTATGTACTAATTTTAAAAACAGTGAAAAAGAGGAGAATATATCACAGTTTCACTTACTTGTCATACATACAGTCATGAGAAGAAACATGTTGGATTAGTCCCAGGCTTTAGTTGGTCTATCCATCTGTGCCCACAGTAGCTAACCAGATGCATATGGAAAGCCCACAAGTATTAGGATATATTTTTCAGTAACAGGTATTGCCAGTGATACAGGAGAGGCAGTATGACTAATAACATTAAACAGACCCTCATGAATTTGTCTAATCCTTTTTCAAATCATTGAATCATTGATTGGTGGTTATCACTGTATTTTGTTATAGTAAATGTTATACTTTAATTATACACGTTATGAAATAATACTTATTTCAGGGTGTCCTGAAACTTCCACCATTCAGCTTCACTGAGTGAGCTAGGTACTACTTTTATGAGAGAGAGAAATCTCCCTATTTTCTTTCTGTATGACCTGCATATCTTTATACAGCTCCATCCTCAAAAGTGAGTGCTTTTACTCACTTCTTTCTAGGCTAAAAATTTTGTAACTGCTACATAGTTTATTAAGGCTACAAGAATTCTATTCTTGGTTAGCTGAGAGAAAGACCATTGTTTTCAAAATAAGTTACTTATGGATAGGCTTCTATAGAATAATTGTTATTATTTATAAATTAACTCTTTCCAAATATTTTCCATTCAGAAACCAATAGAATCTAACTGGCCTTATGTTGAAGATCTGCTGAAACAGTCAATCAATAATCAAGTAAGCATTTTAATAATAACTTGAAAGTTTGATTATGGTTACTTCAGAAATATGGAGGCAAAGGATTGATTGCCTTTTATTCATTCAATTGCTTTCTGAAATTAATTTTGAGTATGACCAGCCTTGTTGATCTTCTGAGCTAGGATGCTACATAGTTTCTTTCTTGTTAGAAGATATACTCTTAAGTGGTTGTGTTTTGAAGATAAATTGTCAGATAAGGTGCAGGGTGGAGATAATTATCCTGGACGTGTTACTTGGCTCCTTTGACAAGATATATTCCGAATAAGAACAGGATGCTTAGAAAATGTAAGCTCTATACTGCATCTGAGGGTATCAAGTTGAGAGACGTGATAAGGGAGATAGTCTATTGCATTGAAAATTCAGCTATATCCTCATCACAGCAGGAAGGTGACTTGACTTGCTGAGCAATTTGTCTTACAGGCTTGAATCAAACTCTTACTGATAAGGTTGTAGCTTTTGAGCACTCATTTCATACCTTATCATTTTTCTTTCTGCAGAGCTGTTAATGCAATACTTTGTGGCCCAGAGGTCAGAAGTGACCTCCTTTTAAAAGTACTTTTAAGTATGCTGTATATATTAATGTTTTTTTGTGTGTGTGAATTTGTTCTTAGGTTGCATGGTATAAATTGTAAATTAATATCAACCATTACATAAATAATTTGCTCAAGTAAAGGTAGCTGGCTATATAGTCAAGCAAGTAGATTAATCTCAATTATGGGTTTCCTTTTGACTTTGACTAATCCATAAAATGGATTTAAACTTGATCCAAGATTCCATTTACTCAAACATTATGAAGCTTCCTGTTTAAGGAAGACAATGGTACTGTGTGGTTGTTTCAGCTGTCCCCTTTCCCGCTAATTGTCCAGCATCATCTCCTATGATCATTCAAAAGGTCTATCAGTCCTCTAAAACAAAGAGAAAGAGACATTCTAAAAACAAAGAGGAATTTGTGAGAATTTTAGCACCAATTCACATTCTCCTAGTACCAGCAAAATGTTTCTAACTGCAACCTTGAATTCAGCCCAATATGTCTGCACATTAATGCTTTGCTCCCCATCATAATTAATGTGATACGGTGCAGTTTTATGTATATTTACAGTAATTTCTTTAAATTCAGAGGAACTTGCTTCTGGGGCAATGAACATAGGATCACTTTATATGTATTATTAGGGTTGGATACTGATTTATAAGTAAGTAAAGCTAAAAAAAAAGAAAAATGAAAATCTAGGTGTGGTTAAGGAAGAATAACAGTTTTAACTGAACATTGGTTATGTGATGAACGAAACTGATTTTCAAACTCAAATTGCTTCAAAAATATTTTGTAATTTTTAGGTACTCCTTGGAAAAATATAATTATAGAAATGCTAAGTAAACTCCCCCCCCCAATATTTTATTGTAAAATATAGTTTCATAGTATATAGTATTTTACCTAAAATGTATTTTAAGAAACTTAGCTAGTCTTTCTTGGTTAAAATGATGATGGAGTAGGTTTAGTTAGGTTGCCGTGACTGTGATATTTTAAGAATAAAAAATGTAGCTGCTTGTTGGAGTTGGGTAGAAAGTTTTCTTGGAATTGGACTCTTTACAAGCAAGCATTTATTTTTAAATGCTGTTCTAGTTTTGGCCTATTCATGTAAACAGATAATTAGTATATGATTGAACATAAAGAAGGAAGAACAGTTTTTATTTAAGACAAGCAATCATTTGTGTCAAAAAAAGGCTGTGCTTACCATATAATACATTAAGCCAAACTTTTTTAAAAAAGGGTTTTGCTTAGCATTTTTCTTTGAACCTACTGTTATATTGTGTAATCATGATTTCTAACTTAGCATGATCAGTGAACTTAGTCAAGGTATGAAATAAAGTTCCTATATCAACATGCAATTTTGCCCTTAAAAAAATTGATTTCAGTTGGCCAGTTCCAGTACAATTGACTAAAAATTATATTTTATTTTTGTTCTTTAAAATGTAACTCTCTGACAAATGTGTAAGTGATATATGTCATAGAATGTTGGTATTTAGAGTTACAACAAAGAATCTTTACAAGTGAGCCAAATCTATCATGTGGTAGCTAGAAAGTTATTTTAAAGACTTTTTCCATTGCTTTTGATGGGACTTAGGCATTAAGAAGTATTTTTGGCCCAAAACAGTATATAAACTTTTTCTGGGTTATGCTTAGAGATAGCCTAGCCATGAATTAAACTCCAAATTATCTTTTAAGGATACCCTGATTGTAACTATATGATTGAAACACCATACACACACACACACGTGTGCGCGCATGGAGATTAGTAGTAGATAACAGTACCATTGTTTCTCAGATTGTTCTAACGGAACTCCCTTTTAAGCCAGAAATGACTGTTATAAAAGAAAATACTTAGAATCTGAACCTTTTTGATTTGACTTGTGGTCAAGGTTGTTATTAAATTAGAAACCTTGTTAAATAAAAAACTAACAGCATCTTAATATTTTGTCTGCTAGGCTGGAATTTTAGAAGAACAGTTACGAATGCATCTTCAGTGTTGCTTGATGTTAAGCCGTATCTGGGATGTAAATCTCACTATCGTCACCATACTTTGGGAACATAACAGCAAAAATCTGGTTAGTAAAGTTTCAGAAATTTAAGTTGGTATAAGCTTAAGAAAAATCTGATACTGAGAATTTTTTAAAAAAAATAACCCAATCCTTTTTGTTAAGTATAGAATTGTACATTATTAATTTTTATATTGTTTTATTTTACTCCAACAACAATACAAGTTCACAACATGTGGAATATTTTAACACAATATTGTTGCATCTTATTACTATATAGCAGTGTTTCTCAACCTTGGCCACTTTAAGGTAGGTGGACGTGCTGGCTGGGGAATTCTGGGAGTTGAAGTCCACCCATCTTAAAGTGGCCAAGGCTGAGAAACACTGCTATATAGTATATAATCATTCCAGATTCAATAAAACAAATGGTCAGTTTTGTGTATGTATTCAGGGTGTATTGCACTGTACCACAGAAATTATTTCAAATATAATATGTTTAAAAAAATTGAACATGGTATATTTTCTAATCAATAAATATATTGAGTAAATGAATACACTTCAGAAGGGAAGGGTGAATCAAAGTCCCCAAAGATATGAAATTTCTTTTTCTGCTATTGTGGGGATGAAAGGAAGAGAGCAGCAGGTCTCCAGCTAGCACTCATTAGCTGATTGTGACCTAAAGCTAGAGAGCACTTCACTTGTGCAGTTATTGGATATCTAGTTGGTTATGGTAAAATAGTTTGTGAAAGAAAGGAGAAAGCAACTGCTATATTATGAATTTTTTTTTTTTTTTTTGCAGAACAATCCCTTTACCATTCCTTGGCTTGGTCTCAAAGGTCTTGCAAATATTAGCAAGACACCCTTGTCTATGTATGAGTTGATAAAGAGCTGTTGCGGTGACATACATACACCTGACATGTATATGTCCTGCAACAGTTTCCAATTTTTTCTTCACATTTTGGCACAAATAATGAAGAAAGCAGGCAAGATCAATGGTGTTCATCCATGGAAGCAGATCAAAGGAAGGTATGGTGGCTTTAACGGTTTTCCACCTAGGATTTTTCATCAGTGTGCTTTTTTTTTTTTGTGGACTCTTTTTGTTTTATCTTAGTAAGATGTATTAATGAATTCTGAAATATTCATAAAATGAGGGATTGTAGAAGAATCAGATTTTATTTTAATATTAAAAATATTTGTAATTTATAGGAATGCATGGCTTTTCTATTTTTTTTTAAATTTTCAAACGATGTGCAATTCATACTAACAATTATATTTTGTGAAGTAGATTTTTTGAGTTAGAAGAGTGAGCCAGTAGTAAAATGATTCTTTCATATACAATAGCTTTCAGAACCCATCCAAAGTTGCATAAACAGTCTTTTCTATCCTGCTTGTTCCCCCATGTTTTTCCCCCAAAAGGATCACTTGAACAGAGGTTGTATAGCAAAAATCAATGAGAACCATTTGTGTGCTAAGAATTCTAGTCACACAAGGTATCTCTGCCTAATTTTTGGTCGTTTCTTCTTATTACCTTCCACATGCTATGTCTGCTCTTTATGTTGGCCTTCTGATGACCCAGAGGCTTTTCAGAAGTTTAAGAGCTGCAGTATGGAAAAGGGTCAGATAGAAACCACCATTTTTTTTGTTTTTTGTTTGTTTCTCATGACCTATTTAGTCTTTTCTTTTCTTTACTTTACTTTACTTCTCAGGTCCAAGTAAAAGGGTAGATCAGAGTTTTCCAAATTGCTGCTATAAAGATATGTTGTGATTATTCCTTCATCTTTAGCCACAACAGATGATGCGGAGTTTTAGTCTTACTGATCTCAACAATACTGGATTGTAGAAGACTGCCATAAACTTTACCAGTGTATAAAATTTTAGTGTACATCAGGAAAAAATTCAATTGATAGTAAAGTTCTACTAGATTTGTTCAAATCTATTTTCACTTTTCCCCCAAAGGACATCACACATATTATTTGTGCTTCATGTATTAGCAGCTTCTGTTTGATGAAAAGTAGACAGAAGTAAAACTTTTTTTCCCAAACCCCAACATTGGCTCTTTCTCATGTGACATTTATGATTTACATTAGCTCAGTCACTTGTCAGGCACATCTCTGCAGACTCCTACTCTGTGAAGTTTTTTGTTCCTTATTCTGAATGCATTGGTATAAACAAAGCTGAATGTTGAAGAAATACACATACAGTAACTCATTTTTAGCAGAAAGGCATTCAGGGGATAGTTTTCCATAAAAGAGTTCTTTGGAAGTAAGACTAACAGAGATCATTGATGCAAAGGACAAATACGAAACAAGTTTTAAGGAAAGTATTTTGGTTTTTTTTTTTTTTAATTAATGCAGAATTTATTCCAAATTCCACCAGAAAAGAATGTGTGAACTGACGGAAGTTGGGCTTCAAAATTTCTTATACCTTTTCCTGGTGCTGGCAGTCCTAGCAGAGACCGAAGATGTTGCCAGCCGCATGATGGAACTTCTGCGTTTCCTCAGTCCCATTTCAACTAGTGTTCCTCAGAAGGCTCTGATCTGGAAAGGTTACTTTGCCTGCATCTTAACATACATTGACAAGAGCATGGACATCAGTATGCTTGCTGAGCAACTCTCAGTGGCTTTCTGTGAAAAGGCAAAGGAATTCTTAGTCGCAAGAAATGACCTCTTGCAGAAACAAAACCTTTGGATGCTGCTTTCCACGTATGTTGATGGTGTCCAAGAAGTTTTTGAAAGCAGCTTATACCTGAACCTTTCTGAAGAAAAGCTGCTGAGTGATGGTTTTAGCATGTTGTTGCCAGGTTGCCGAGGAGCTGAACTGGCAGCAGTGTTAAACTTCCTGCAAGTTGTTTTGTTCAGGCTGAGGTGAGAATTTATTTATGGCAGTTTTCTGAAGTTTCTTATTTTTTCATTGATTTTGACATAGCTTCAGGATAATGTATGTGGGTTACTATTTATGTATTTATTAAATTGTACTGAACCACCCTTTTTTCTTACAAATATCTGAGCAGTGTACAAATATGATTAAAATAATAGAATAATAGAGTGGTATCATAAGAGAAACAGCAAGAGAAAGTAGCAAATGCAGTAGAACAGGAAATATCAGGACAGACAAATACGGTTTTGAGTTAGCACCCAGCTGAAGAGCAGCGTTCACACGCATGAAACGTAAGATTGTGAAGTGGCAAACAAACATTGATTTATATAGCTAAGATGCAGTTGATATGATTAAGATTTTGTCAGCTGCAGAGACCCATTTGGACGTCATATCCAGCAAGGAGCTGAATTAAGCTTGGCAGCTTTCAGGGTTTTGAATATAGAAATAGATGAGATGTGTAAGAGCTGTTAGATATGTGCAAGTTCATTACTTGCTGATAGCAATGATAAGTGAGGATGTGCATGTATAATTAGTGATCAAATTATGAAAAAATATATAATACTTTTAACATACTCATTTTCAATATGGGTCTTACATTACAAATCATGAAATAAATGAAGTATAAGAGTATGAAATTAATAGTATCACTGTTTTTGATCATTAATTTTTCCAGCCATTATCTACTTATTTCAGGTTCTTTCCACATTTGCTATATGTGGCAAACATTTAACAAAAGACAGGAAAAAGCCTACTGAGAAGTTAAACTCTGATGTTCTCCATGAATAGCAGCAGTTGTTCTTAGTGTTTAAACTTGATCCTTCATCTCCTAAAGGGCTTCCAGGCCACGTTACATAATAATTAAAACCAGACAGACCTTCTTTACAGGAGAATAAGATAACAGAAGTAGCTTCCATTCTTCTGCTCTCCAAATGTGGCAGAAGGCGTCTCAGATGATGTAATGAGTTCCACAAGAGATGGACCTGATGTTCCTCTTCATAGGGAATTGGTTTGGGTGGTCCCACCACAGCAAGGACAGACTGCTGAGGGCCACTGTAAGGAAGATATTTCTGCTACAATCAAACTGCTTGATTTCTGAGCTTGCATGCTTTTGTGGGTCTTAATACAGCTTAGAAGTGTCAGGTGCAATTTTTTTGTAGCCTCACAGCTGCTGCTACTAACTTATATTAGTTGAGTTAGGTATTTTTTAAAAAAGAAATACAATAGAATGGAAGGAAGAAATAGTGACTAGTTAAAAAAATGGGAGGCTTGTGATTAAATACAAATGTTTTTGCTTGATTTGTATGATGATTAGCAACCTCCAGACTTTTCTTTTTCTGATAAACATGTTTTTGTCTATAATTTGCATTGGAGGCAGTTCTTCTAGCTAAAGTCACAAACTTTTTTAGGAAAGTTGGAAGTCATCTTCTGCCATCATTCTGCTGTACACCATAATGAGGCAGTTATTGATTGGTCACTGTGAGGGAAGGACTGCAGAAAATATGCATTCTGAACATTGGGAAGAAACTCACCTACATGTTTACCTTAAGTACTTTGTTACTGTCTGAATAGTTTGACTTCTGCTGTCAGTAGCTTATAAATCCAAGGACGGTTGATTTTTTTCCCCCCAGGCTGTGTTTAAACAAAGATAAAGTGTTTGACAAAGTGCAAGTGATTTATTAGGAGAGTCTTTATAAATTGGTTTAAGTTGGTATTTTAAAAACAAAAACCATCTAGAAGCTGGACCCATTCATTCTTCGTTTGTTCTAACTGTGCCATGCATATTACCTTAGAAGGTCCTTTGGTCTTGAATGGTCTGTATAAACACAGAATAGTTGTATTTAAAATAAAATAAATGAACCTCCTGATTTAAGGGAGAACAATGAACAGCAGTTATTTTAAAAATAATGCAGATATTAACTAAGGTTTGATTAATCATACTAAATGTTATTTGGGTAGATCCTGACCTGCTGCCCCGCCTGAGCTCCTTGACTCTGTGGCCAAGTTGACGGTGGAATTCCCTAGGCCACATGGCCGATTGGGGAATTCTGAGAGTTGAAGTCCCCACATCTTCAAGTTGCCAAAGTTGAGAAACACTGCCCTAGGCTGATGATTCTGGAGGACTTCAACTTGCTGTGTGTGGGCCCAGAATCAGAAGCACCTCAGGAGTCTATGGCTGCCACAGCTACCATGGACCTGATCCAGCTTGTTGGACCCAACTCACAACAGTCATCACATGGTAGATCTGGTTTTTGTCTTGGTCAGTGATCTAGCAATGTGATCTAGAGTTGAGGAATGTTAACATCAATCCCTTGTCATGATCAGATCACTCCCTCCTGGCTCTAGAGTTGAACAACTTTTTAAATATATATATATAT